CGTCCGGCACCGGACGTGGACTGTCGGCCGTTTCTCGTCCCATTCCGCCGTCACGCAGCGGGACCTCTCACGCAGGGCAGAAACGAGACGCCACGGGCGATCTGTGAGGGATCGTCTGCTCAGGGTTGAAGTCGTAGGCGGTCATGTCCCCGCACTGCATGAAGCTTCTTCGTTAGTCACGAATAATACAAAGAAATAGGAATCTACCCGTAAAGGTGACCTGTGACTCATGCATGTTATCAGACGCGACGGCCCAGCAGGGGCGGGACCACGAAGCCCAACTCCACGTGTGACCACGAGTGGCCCCCACGTGTCGCCACGAGAGCAAACACCACGTGTCGCCACGGCGTCGACCACCCGCCGTGATCGGCAGCTGCGATATCCGATCCCGATCTGGTTTGCAACACGGCCGCCCCCGCCCCCGCCGCGGGCCAGGGCGGGGGCGGGCCCGAAAGTCACGCCATCGGCCGCCCGATCGTTTGTCCAATGACTGACGGAGTAAGAAGTGGTGCGTGGCGGATAGCGCCAGTCTTTAGACCGTCTGCGTCCTGTTTATGGATTATGGGTAATGCTTGCAAACATGGGATATTCATATATGTTGGAATCTATAAACATCTGATGACACATAAGATGAGCATTGAGCAATAAGCATAAGGAACATTCCATAATCCACGTAGCTCCCTCCATTCAAGCGTCCCATGCTCATATACGCTCAGCCGTAGTATCACTTCGTTTCCTACAGTTGATCCCACTTTCACACTCGTTCATCCCACTTCCTTTATGAGACGGGCCCACGTCACTCCGCCGGCCGGAAGCTCCATGCGTCACGCGATCACCACGGATCCGTACCGTGACGGGCCCCGTACGGAGCGCCGCCGCCGTGTAATCGCACGGGGATTCGTTCCGCGCTCCCGGCTTCATTCAGACGCTGCAGTAGTGGCGGGGAGGTGCAGCTGCCGAGGCGGCGACCGAGGCTCGTAGAAGACGGGACGTGTCGCTTTCGTTTCTGTATTCGTAGCTTGAATAAATGAAACGTCACAGGCTGACGTACCTATTTTTTTTTCGGTGGTGATGCTGCATTTTTCCTCGTTGTCGCTACATCTACATACATGCCAGTTCAATTTGTCTGGCTTTAACAATACAACAGCCGCTTGGTTATGCGGGGTTTTACCTCGCTTTGGGGCTGTTATCTGTGGATCTAAGTAAAAATCGTGACAGCGCGGCGGGGCGGAGAGCACGAGATCACGATATTTATGGTGGCGGGGCCCATGGCGCTGCAGACTGGCATCAATATCGCGTGCTGGCCTCACTCGGGCCGGTCCGCCCACCGGCGGAGTTCCGCCCGGTCCGCCGCTCCGCCCGCGCGGAGGGCGGAGGGGGGGGGGGGGGGTCTCAGACCGGCCAGTGTCGCCGGTGGCTGAGGGCGGTGCCGGCGGCGGTACTCATCAGTCCTAGTACCACTGCTCAGCTGTCGCCGTCTCAAGGCTAACGTAACGTCCTGTGAGCTATACCTGACCGAAGTCCTGACCAGTCGAGGCAAGCCAGCGGACCCGGATTCTCAGCCCGACCAAAAAGTCGGTCTCTCTTCGGCCCGGCACGGTGCGGCGCACGGGAAGTCGCGTATACCGTCGGCGTGCGGCGGAGCGAGGGCGGCTGTTTGTGAGTCGGCCCGTCCCGGCGCACCGGGCCGGTTTCAAGGTGACCCTGTGTTTGCCCGTTGTCGGCCCAAGCCGCCCGCTGCCACCTCTCTGGAAAACAACGGAGCTAACGGCGGGCGAACCGGGACCGCCCCTCAGTTGCGTAACGTGCGCGTATACTGCGACAAATGAGACGTATCGCAGGGGGCGGGTGGATCTGCGTGACCTTTGTCGGTGAAAAATGGAGGGAGGTCGGGGCGGAACGAATGTCGGGATCAGCTTATGGTGATTTACAGCCGACTACATCATGCTAATCGACGTGTGGGAGGATGTCGGCGATGCACACTTCACGGGCAATTAACATTAATCTCAGCGATTGATTCATTCATGTCCGCCAGCTGATAACGGTGACATGCGTAGATATTGCTTTGATAGCAGCTGCGGGACTGAATGAATTGAACGCGGCTTCGGATTAGAGAAACAATCCCAAAGCCGAAGAGCTTTTGTGGTCGCGCGTGCGTTGAGCGCTAGGAATGCTAGTATGCAGCGAGCCGATCGAGAATACAATGGTTTCCTTGACTAGGATCATCGATCAGAGCCTAGACAGGCGGATTCAGCGACCCTCTTGGCCGCCGCCTCGAATAATCGGCGAGCTCACCTTTCGCTTTCGTTCACCTCACCTTTCGTTGGACAGATGTTCTTTGAGGCTCCCTCACGACGCGACAGACAAGTCCTAGCTTATGTAACTCGCAAAGCGTACCAAAACGTCATGCATATAATGCAGCGCGGTTCATCCAATACATCTAGGGCTATTTTAAATATGATTTCCATTCACAGTCAAGTAGCGATGCTCCGTTGCCACAGATTCTAATTCAATAAATTCATTTCAATGGCTAGTTTAGCACTCGTCCCCGTGATCAGCTGCAGAAAGCACTCGGCTGTCCTTGACACGGTTTCCTGCGGCCTCCGCGGTGCAGGGTGCACCCTAAGGGGACGGTGACCCGCCGCGTCCGGGCGAGCGGAGCGGCGTTTCACTCTCCGGGAGAGGGAGAGCGGTGCCGGTCGGACGCCCTCTCCGCACAGACGTCCGGTCGAGGTCGTCGGGACCGGTGCTGGCCTCATGACGACACACGGTGCCGCCTGCCGTCGCCGGCGGCGGCCGGTGAAACTGGGCGACCCCGCCACCGGCCGACGTACCGGTCCGGCCGGCGCCAGGGGCAGGGGCACGGCCAGCGCAGGACGGGGGCATGCGAGAGTCCTGTCTTGTCTTGAGCGCTCCTGTCTTGAGCGGAAGGATGCAGGGATTGAAACTGTAAAATCCCTTTGGCTTCAGCAAATAACAAGAGAGACGGCAGCTGGTGTGATGTAATACGATTGCTTTGGACCTAAATTTATTGCAGCTTCCCTTCTGAAATGTAGGTTCTTGATTAAAATTTTCTCTAAAAGGGACTATTTTTTTATTATAAAATGGGCTACCTCCCCTGTGAACTAGCAAACTCTACCCACAACAACTCTAGACGCAAGTACAAGCGCACTTTTTCCCACCCGAACGGAACAGCTTCCCTCCCTCCATACCGTTGCCCGGTCGGACATACCCGTTTGCGGCGCGGCGCGTCCCCTCTCACCCTTCCGACCGGGGTGGCAGCTGGTGCCCCGGTAAACCCTTCCCCTTCCCATGGCTATTTATAGACGGGGCGAGACGTAGAGGTCAGCAAAACAACCCGGAAAGCGGCCGTGCTGTCGGCCATGTGCGCACCTAGGGACGCAGCGGGGCGGGCCATGAATAGGGCTGTGTTCGTAGGAACACCCGTCGTGATGGCCAAAGCCGGAGGTATTTAAATGGTCGGTCCTAGGGATGGTGGAAATGATGTATAACTTATGGAATGAGATCCCAGAGGCGGTCGATTAGCAACGGTAATATATTTCAGACGCTTGCATACATATCTGCAGATGGTAAAAGCACATATTCATTTACGATTACGACGGTAACCAAGGCGCATATCTTATTAACACTGACGCCGAATTAATGTTCGTTAGTTAACCATAGAACACATTCGCCCGTCTTAGGATTGCTCCTGAACTGGTAGTTGATGATGCATCGAGACCAATTTTCGTTTTCGTTACGCGACCTTCTCCGGGTCAGGGTGCTGCCCGCGGGCATAATGTGTCGGTGGCCGTTAGTGGATGATAGTGCGTGTGCGTGAGCCCAAACCATCTGGGTCAGGGCCTGGGTCGTCCCGGGTATGGAGCGCTCTCAGCGCCCGGGGACCGTCTCGCTGAGTCAGAATGCCGCTTCCGCGTGAGCCAAACGGCGGGTCCAAGGCTGCGCACCGGCCGCCGACGTCGCCGGGCGCCGCGCGAGACTCCGCTTTCAGGGAACGGCTCTCACAATGGGGCCGGACGGGGGAGGGAAGGGAGGGGAGGGGAGGCGCCATTAACGCACCGCCGCCGGCCGGGGTCAAGGGTGGTGTGCGCGGGGAGACCGGGGGAGGGGAGCACACGCACCCCCACGCACAGCACACCCGGTGTACACAAGGGTGCCGAGCGAGGGGAGGGAGAGCCCGTTCGGGCGCCATGCGGATGCAAAATAAGCTGGCGGACGCCGGCGCACGGCCCGGGCGCGGTCGAACGTGAGAGCTCGCCAGACCTGTTTATGCATTACGGTCTGTGTTTATGTACACGGAGCCCCGCATACCTTTTTAAGTGTATTTTGCCGTCGGGTAGGAAGGCATGTTTATTTGTGCACTACCTTGCATGGATATTGGTCGGCCTAACGAAAACAAGCTATCAGCTGAATATCTGCCACTGGCATTGGTCACGCTGGTTACCAACTTAGTCCATTCCAAAGTAGGCCAATGGTTTATGGATGAGCAGAAACATAAGATCATTAATTAGCGCCCTAAAGTAATTGTATAAGATAACCGAGCCTTAATGTCGAAGAGGAGCTGGCCGACTATGCATCTATTTCAATAAACTAACCTTCACAAGAGAGCAAGGATCGCGACATTGACGAAGAACAGGCCCACGATAAAATTAATCGCAGTAGCGCACCGAAGAATGATGCAGAAGTCTGCTGACAGCATATGTATACCAAACCAACATGCACATGCCTACTACTGAAGTTGATAAGTCTCGCATTCATAAATTTCAAACAAAGACGGTGGTAAGAGATTCGCTTTCTATCCAGTATATCTAGGAACTTGTGCTTCTTGCCCATTTTATTCCACTTCATCATTTGCTTCGCATTTCCTGGTACACACAATGCATCCAACCACTTCCAGTCCACCAATCAGTGGCAAGATAGCGTGACCTTGCCGCGTCCCGTGACAGCTCGCGCTGACTCCTATCTTTGTCCCGTTTCAGGCTCCATCAGCTCGGCGTTCGACTGGGCTGAGTCCGTGGAGTGGTCGCCGGCCGCCCGCCAGGCGCGTCTCCAAGCCGAGACGCTCGAGGCGGTCAGCAGCCGGCTGCGCGAAGCTCGCGTCAAAGAGTCCACCAGCGAGGAGGACGAGGAACAGGTCGACGTCACCGCCCTCTCCGAAGAGGAGGAGGACCAGGAGGAAGAGGAGCGCCAGGAGGAGCCGGTCACCGAGCCAGCGACCCGCAAACAGGCGGAACAGGAGCCGGAGGATGACGAGCCCGCCGAGCCGGCCACCGTCGCTGATGATGATGAGCCGGTGGATCTGTCGGTCGGTGCGAATCCTCGACGATGCTTCCCGTCGCTGGCGCCGGCGTCACGGCGTACTTCGGTTATCGCACACACCACCACCGTGCCAAAGAAGAGGGCCTACTACCGGCGCAACCTCCTGCCCGGTGGCAAGTTCCACCTGGACTCTCCCCCGCCATCCTCCGAGCGCCCCAAGGACCTGCGGGTGCCGCGCACCGGTCTGGCGCCCGTGCAGAACCCGCTCGGCTCGGGCAACAACCCCCTGTCGCCGACACCCGGCTCCCCATACCGAGGTGGCGGCGGCGGCGGCCGTGGCGGGGGCGGTCCGGGCGGCCAGGGCGGGGGCGGCGGCCTCGGACCGCCCGGCTTCGGAGGCTTCTTCGGCCCCGGCGCCGGCGGCAACTTCGGCTTCGGTCTAATGAACTGCAAGACCGAACAACAAGGCGACGGCGGCTGCCGGAGCAGGCACTCACCACGACACTTTCAACCACATCATACGCCACATTTAGAGAACTTCCCCGTAGGCTACATCGACCAACAAGTGGAGGGCTGCAAGCCGCCGCCGCAGCCGCCTCCACACTGGGCGGCACAGGCGCAGACTGGACCTCGTATGCCGCCAGCCGGATACGGCTTCGGCGCTGACCCCTTCGCCACGTTCAGCGATCCCTACGAGCAGCTGGACGCTGAGCTCTTCGGCAACAGCGCAGCCGGCGAGCACAAGCCGGCCGTGTCGGCTGCTCCGCTCGGAGACGGTAACCATGACCTGTTCGGACTGGAGCAGCTGCTGCAGCAGGGTGGCGGCAACAACGGCGGCAACGGCGACCTCTCGCAGCAGACGGTGACGGACGCGCTCGGCGAGCCTGCCTCTCTTCCAGCGGCGCTGCCGGCCCTCTCGGAGCCGGTGGTCTCCTCCTGTCTGGCTGACGCCATGTACGACGGCAAGTTCGTGGTCACCGGTCTGCCCGGCGGCCCGCAGCTGCCGGCCGTGCAGCCGACTCAGACGCCCGAGTCGTCGACGGCCGGTGGCGCGCAGAGCCGCACCTCGCCCGGTCCCATCCGCGGCGGACGCTGCTCGCCGCGCTCACCGCGCTCGGTCTGCGGGGACAGCGCCGACGGATCGCCCAGCCTGGACGCCCGCGTCGCCATGCTACAGCAGAGGGTGAGTCGTCGAGACTGGTTGCTGATATTCGAAGGGAGAGAATGGGAGAGATACGACATGAGGGGCATAGGAAAACGATGGATTTTGGGAGCTGGTGGTGATAAATTTTGTAATTAAGGGCCCATAACGCCTTCATGAGTCGTGGGAAAATGCGAGGAAAGGGAAGGGAATGTGGAAAGCAAAACCCTAGCCCCAACTAACTTGAACGTGGATAGAGGTTTCGAAGGAAACAGGGACTAAATTACGCCTATGCTTTTGACATTTGACGGTTTACATAGGATCAACTGCGCCGCCATACCCACCGCCGCGCCGGATGCATGTCAATATCGAACACCGTCCTGACGATGCGGGTGGTAAGGCCAACGGGCTTTTAGACAAAACACATGTGGGCCGCAGCAGCAACGGGACCAAATGTTGAAGGTCCTGGGCGGCCTCTGTGCCTGTTCGGGGTGCAACGTCTCTGCGGGTCGGGCTCGGCGTGACATGTTTACATCACCGCCCAGCGCCAGACGTGTCGACCGCCGGTGAAGTCGGGTCGCTGAAGTGTCCGCCGCCGCCCCTCGACCGATCCGGCCAGCTCGCGCAACGAGGCCACTCAAAGCAAATAAATTCACCGGCACCCGCTCTGGGCGCTCAGAACCAGGTCGTAGTGGCCGATGTGAAACCGTGCATAATTCAGCCGCTTCACGTAACGCCGATATCGCGCGCAGCCATGTCCTACGTGGCCAATGGCTCGCTGCGTATCGGTCACCGGCGACATCCGAGCGCCGTGTCGGGCCGGCCTCCGCGCGGCGAAAACGTGCTGCAGCTTTCAGCAGAGCCCCTTTTGGGGTGCCCGCGTCACTCCATGAGCATATGCAGCGCATGACTGCGGTGCCGACCGGGGTGGATTATGCAGCGCGCCGCGTCTGGTCTGGCCGGGTGCATTGTAACGGTCGGGCCGCAGCGGGAGGCGCTTTCATCGGCGCCGCTCACCGCCGCACTACGACATTGTGGCGCGTCGAAAGGAAAAGTGCCGGCTGCCTCGTTAGAATTACAGAACCGGCGACGATAAAATGAACGGTTGGCTGTGAGCCTGGGACGCGGCCGCCGTGTAGCCTTGCTGCTGAGTGCTCAGCTGTCCTTGAGAGAAGCTTCACTGGCATCACATCGCCTAAAACTCCACCAGCAGCCACTGCCGAAAAGCTGTGTTGAAAACAGCGCCGCCACCGTACCCGGTGACACCAATTAATGATCTTAGCGGCCGCGGCGACGTGGATTTATAATCATCACATGCGGTGCGCCTAAATTGGAGATAATCATTACCGGACCTCGGCGATCATTACCAGAGCTCTGGCACGGGTATGTCCGGCTCTCATCGGCGGTAGCGGCAGTGACCTTGCCGGGCAGATGTCCCGGGGTGCTGCCGGCCCACCGCTGCCGCTGCGTGCCAAGGTCCCGTTTGTCCCGCCCCTGTCAGCGCTGGGCGACAACCCGGCGAGGAACGCAACGGGGCCCACTCGTTGCGCAACTTGGAGCGCAGTCGACGCGTGAAAACTGACACAGGGCTGACGTAGCCGTCGCTACGCCGGACGCTGGGTAATATCGCGGGAACCACCAGTGCCTGGGGGACGGATAGCGGTAGGCCACCGGTGATTAAAGTGGATAGTTGTCAGGCTGATGTGATACACGACAAACGACAACGAACACAATGTCAGCCCCATGAAATTATGTTCAGTGTTCACACGTGTTCCAGCGGTTATATATTTTGGTCATCTGTGATTAATGATGTGTTTTCTTGCTTGCAGCTGGGCCTTCCTGAAACTCATACCTTCGAGTTTGTCAATGGCGAGCACGGCATCAAGAACCCGCACGCCAACGAGCGTGCCTTCGAAGTGGAAAAACTGCCACCCATCAGTAAGTTTTACCACCTGTAAAAGGTAGCACAATGTTCGCTCACTCGAACCGCAAAGGGGCCCCAAAGCAGACTGACACGAAGCCCCGTACTATTCCCACATCAAACCAGGAATTGCATTTGCCTTCAGCACATTCAGCAGACCAGTGCGTGGGCATTCAGTCGCGTCTGACTGCTCACAGTAATGACTGCATTCGCGAGGCATGTGCGAACGCTCCTTCAATCGAATAGCGTGCTGGAGGAAACCGCTTCCGTTCCCTGTCGCCGGGGCGGTGAAGCGTTTCCGCTCACTCCGACTATCACACTGATGATGTGAGACATAGGTGCGGGTGTCACAGGATGTGTGTCAGCTAAGTAGAGGAAAAGTGGCAAATGCTCAGTCGTCTTTGTCTTGCGTTACGAGTTTGCGTGGCGGAATAAACCGCTACAGATTTTGCATTGGCTTACACAGACACGAACTAACATTTCAGCCAGTGCTTGCTACTTCTGACAGCCATCAGGTGCATCTAGACGCTTGTTTTACACTTGCTACGACTCCCGGCAATTCCGATCGAAGCTTGTTTTCTGACCGACCTGTTTTTCTTCCTTGCAGTCTGTGAGGAGGACCCGAAAACCTACATGTGCCGGCTCTGCTCCAAGAAATTCAACCTGCTGCGCCTTCTGAACCGGCACATGAAGTGCCACTCGGACGTCAAACGTTACCTCTGCACCTTCTGCTGCAAGGGCTTCAACGACACCTTCGACCTGAAGCGACACACGCGCACACACACTGGTACGTTCGCAGGACCAAGATCGGGTAGTCAATATCTGATAGTCAGCGGAATCTCCGTACATCCAGCTCCTGTAGAAATTCCTTAATTCCTAAACATTGCGAACAATTGTAGTCCCTTTGACGTTCCAAGTCTGTGGAATATTACAAGCAACTCCAACCGCTAGCACTAGCAGTTGGGTATGTCCAATTTACCGCAATGTTTATCAAACCGGTACAGCACTGTCAGACGTCACTAGCATCCAGGGGCGTGGCGGGAATGCACATTGCACAATCATCATTAGCGGCGACACGTCCCAGTCCGAGTCGATCGCAGACGCTTCCGACCCAGGCGCAGCCATGTTGGCCGACACGCCACTCTTATATACACACAGTCTGATCTAAGGCCAAACTCTGAGCGAGACTCGTTTGCTAGGAGTGTTATCTCCTGGAACTGTCTGCTTCGGATCAGCGTTTACCGGACTGCAGTGCTGTGAATTCCGAAATGTTAATAACATGATATGGCCGAAATAAAAATGTGGATTAGTTATGTCGCGTCCTGGTGCTGAAATTCCGGTGGCGAGTGCTGGTCTGTCTCATGTCGGCTATCCTCGCAAGTCGCGTTCTTCTTCGCTCGTTCGTGGCAATCTCTGCTGAATGTCCGCTGAGTTCTGACATTTGCTCTCTTCTGTTCGACAGGCGTTCGCCCATACCGCTGCATGCTCTGCGAGAAGTCGTTCACCCAGCGGTGCTCCCTCGAGTCTCACTGCCTCAAAGTTCACGGCGTGCAGCATCAGTACAACTACAAGGAGAGACGCAACAAGGTCTACGTCTGCGAGGAGTGCGGCAGCACCTCGCTCGAGCCCGAGGCGCACTACTACCACCTCAAGGAGCGGCACCCCAACAGCCCGGCGCTGCTCAAGTTCTACGACAAGCGTCACTTCAAGTTCAACGCGAACTTTTCATCCATGATGCTGCAGTCGCGATCGTAGTGCCGACCGCGACCGCTAGGGGCGCTAGTGCGACGGTCGTCGGGTGACCGTCGCATCGCCAACGCCAAACGCGCGCGTTATGGGATCTGCATAGTTTACCCGACGTTACACCTGAGTGAGAACGAAAACCACGAGCGCGACCTGACCTGGACGCTCACAAGGACATAGTTAACGCGAGGCGCTGCGCGCTGGCGCTCGCTAGGTGACTGGGGGTACTTTTCGTCATAAGAAGTGTCTATATGGTGCGTGGCTTCCTGGACAGAAACCAGCAGTGGCCATGACTCGTGAAACGGGTCGCCTTTGGGACGCGCGCGTGCGCGCACCGCTCGCCTCTGCCGACGCTGACAGCTAAAGGGGCATTCGCGCGCAAATAGACTACCTGCTGAGCTGTGCGAATTGCGAGAATGTGTGCTCGGATGCTGTATTCAGTGCGGCGTATGCGAGAGATAGGAGGTAGTTGGTTCGCTCGTCCCCCAATGTTCAGAGGACTAGCGAGCCGGCTCCGCCAGCCATGGGTGAGTGGTGTGCAGACACAGTTGACCTAGGAACAACGCTGAGCGTCACGGCTCAGAGGTCGGGCCGACGTATATTTTTATACCAGATCTTTTCATCTCGAGCCTCGTGAATGAGGCCATTGTTATATTTGGTTTTAGCGCGCCACAATCACTTTGAAGAAACATTTGTACCTAAGCAATAATGTATGTTTTGAGTAGGTTATTGGCATGAACATGAACATCGAACCAATTTGTTTTATCTTGAACTTCTCTATAAAGCAATCAAATGAAGCTGATGCCAAGTGCTTTAGAACTATTGTAAAAACCGCGTTTTCATCGAACATTGTTTTGATTGCTTCAAAGAGAACTCGATAAAATATACGACAAAGCAAAGTTGTGTTTATGCCAATGCGGAAACGAATAATCAAACGGCCTGGGCGATCGAACTTTTTAATGAATACGAGTCAAATTTTGATAGAACAGCTGTGTCTGCATCACGTTAAAAAAGAAATCACTTGCCATTTAATGTGTATGAGATACAAATGATACCGGAATGTAAAGTGATATGAAACAAAGGGTACGGGGCAAAGTATGTGAGCGAGCAATGTAAGCGTGAATAGTGAAAAGGATAAATGTATATAGGACAAAAGTATATATAGATAAAGCGTGGAACGTGTCTGATGCCCGTCATGAACGTCAGATCTGAGTGACCAATTTGAATAATAGAAACCGGCGGCCGATCATGCAGCTTCGCGCTGCTGGGTGCGCGTTAGGGTGCCGACTGCTGTGTGGGTGTGTTGTGGGTGCTGTGTGGGTGTGTGGCGGGTGCTGAGCTCGAACGTCGTAGACTGTATGGTCCCCTGAGCGTGTGTGAGCTGCTATATAGTGTAGATAGTGTGCGCCGCTGAGCGTGTGTTGCGTGAAGGGACGGAATCGGTCTCACATGTGTCACCTTCCGTCCAGGGAAGTACCCGCTGACGGTTCAGAAACGACCCGGGAACACCTCGGTAGATACAGATTCGACTCCAGCGGTCCAGCATCCGGGGTAGAATTTAAAATATCAAACTTGTGATGTCATATCATGACAGAAACACCATACATTTGCCCAGTTTTCCCTTGGAGGACCGTCTGCGAGTGCTGTGATTCTGTATCTACCCAGCAGCTGACTAGGGCGGGGTAGACCCCTCATCAGCTGCTGAGGGGCCGGTCTGAGACCAGAGGCGATGGACTCCCGCATGACCGACGGGACCAATTGGGACCAAGCGCGCGAGAGACGCGGGAAGTGCGAGGTAGCCTGAACATTCCCGCATCGGGAGTCAGTTGTGATACCAAGCCGCAATCACGAAGGACCCGGCAACGAACTGTCTTCCGATCCTCAATCATTCAGATGCAAAACACGGCATGTGCATCACTTTTAGAGGCATACCATTGCACAATAATGCCAACTATTTTATGATTTAAAATATATTAGAATTTTGCTCTAAGTGCAAACGCTGTTTCACTTCAATTGGTTTATTGCGTCCCGTGAAATATGACGGGTATTTGAAGAAAATTCGTTCCGTCCTTCGTAAATACGGCTTATATTTCGCTAAATGCTTGGTGAGGAGTTGGCGGCGGAAACTAGAGGAGTATATACAAACTTGTAAAAAATGCGTGCGTCTGGGATGGCTTGTTCCGCCTTGTTCGTGTTGACGCGACCTGTCCTGGGTCAGATCACAACGCCTGTGCCGTTCCGGCAGAGCTAAACGAAACCGAAACTTTCTAAACGTTGTTTGTCTTGTTAAATTTCGCTAGAAAAATGATCTCTTCCGCTACTGTCTTTGCCGCTGATCTTGGCAAAGTGTACAACCGAACGTCGCCGCTGACTACTGCGCTGTATCTTTTAAATGTCTCGTTTCAAATACCATTCCGAGTCTGACCGCCCTAGACTTGTTTGGTGGACCTCTCATGTCACTGCCGAGGAGACACGGCCGCGTCCGCGGGGATTTTGGGACCCAATCGGCCGGTGGAGACCTCCGAGTACAAATAGGAGTTGGACTGACTGGCGTCTGTGGGGAACAGCGTGCCACCGGGAGGCAGCCAGCGAGAAAGGGACTGTCGCACCGTGCCTGCAGTGAACGACCCTGTGGCTGCACGGGCAGCAAATACAAAGTTGGCGGTAGCCGGCTTGTTTTGAGGGACAGGTTTGCGGGAAAGAGAAAACGGCTAATCGTGGAGACACGGCCGACCGCGGTTCGGCCGCGCTTTCCAAGGTTACGTTTAAATCGAGAGGCTCAAGGACGACAACGTGTCCAGATTATGATCACCACAATAAATGGACGGTACAATAGATAGACATTTGACAGTGGATGCCTATTTACACAAATATTCATAACTCATATCTTTGCCAACTGCCAAGACATAAAACACCCGACGACAAGCTTGTCTTTTTAAAATATTTGGTAAGCTGGAATAGCACGACATTCTGTCTCTGAACTACACATAATCACTCATCAATATCCAACTGTCATGTATTTAGTCCGTCATACCTGAGGTCATCGATTCCCTGTCACACCCCTTTCACCCGACACCTTGTTAGTTAGCTCCTGACGTCCTCGAGATGATACAAAACGAGACTGCCGAAGCGAGGGAGCCAACTAGTTAGGCACGACCACAAAGTCTATCCCCGACATCACTGACAAACTGACTGGTCAGTGATTATCCTCCGTCTGCACCAAGCCGGCGCCTCCAAAAGCCGACCACGTCCGATTGTCGGACGGGCTGTGTACCGGGCATGTCAACATCCTCAGCGAAGGCCGCCCGCTTCGACAGAGCCGGGCAGAGGATTGTACGGAGTTTTTAGAGGCACCGACGGCGGAGACGGGATGAGCATCACTACGGTCGTGACGAGCACCGAGTACCGAGTGTAGAGCAGAAATCACCACACACTCGGTAGACCGCTCATAGTGGTTTGTGCAATACGATTCGGTTCAATACGGACATGGTGAGGTCGCAGAGACAAGAGAAGAAATCGAACTGAAGCAAGTGGTGGATCGGAGTCGAATAGTTTCTGATACTGGATCGGGAACATGCGGGAGTGATACGGTAGGGATGACCGAGGTCGACAGGGTTGATAGGAAATACTGACAGGGGCAGCAGTACCTACAGAACAACCAAAGCAAGGCCAAACGAGACATATATTCGACAGAACACTCCAAACAGCAGACCCAGCGAGCGCATCACGTCCAAGCCAAGCTCGTGGCCTAATCTGACCCAGACCTATCAACTCCATCCCATCATTGGCGGGTCGAGGACATTTCCCATGCGAAAGCTCGACTATCGCGGACACTATCCCGATGGCCAAACACCGGGTACAGACCAACGTCTGTCCCTGCAGGGCCAGGACCGGTTTGCCGGTTTTCGGAGCCGGAACTGGCCGGATCGTTGGCGCCAACTCTGAAGGCCGACAGGGCCAACGGCCATCCAGCCTTCAACGACGACCACCGACCGTTAGCGGGCCGGGTAGCGGAGGGCATCGGAGGGTTAGGGGGCTAAGACCCCGACCAAGAGACACCTACGTCCGACGCCATGCGCGAGATGCACAGGCGGCCTCTTTTGACAGGGTTTACTGCAGAATGAGAGTTGGTTCATGCATGCGATCCAAGAGCTTTGAAGGTGATTAAAACTCACGAAGAGCAGAGCTTTGGCTTGAGGATGCAGTTTTGTGAGGAGCTTTCAGCTAAATATGGAACAGCTAGGCGAGGATCACGCTGAGCCGGAGGCGGGAACCAGTCTTCTGTTCATCTGTTGTTCTGATCCGCCAGCCTCCTTCAAGGCTAGGAAACACAAACTGACTTATTGGGACAGCAATTTTCTTCTAATACTGATCTCGCAACAGAATACGACGTTGCAGACGATTGTCGGTTGAACGATCACCCAATCACCTCAGCAGACATGGTCAGTCACACGGGTATAAAGTTGTGAGTTGCGTATGCGAAAGGCACGAGGAAGCGAAGCCGATTTTCCGCGGGCAATGAGCCAGCATCGTTGACTTCATGGTCGAATTTTAATACTGAGGCAAAAGAAAAGGCCTGCTTGAACTGCGCAGTTCCACATATTTCTGACCTACGCCTAAAAATCTGAACCAATCTGCAGCTGTAAGCCGCAACCCTTGCTCTTCCTGTTTTGCAAAATCAAAGCAAAAAGCTGTAAAATGTAGTCATGATCGTCTCATTAAGACGAGATTATCTGCGAAAGCTGGTCAAGTTTCTATGTAAAACGTGTAATTCACCCAGACATGATAAACGGCTTTGACTAAGGTAAACATTCTAATGACACGGCGATAAATATACATACTAGGAAGTAGGCGATAAATGTACTAGGAAGTAGGAATTAGCCAAGGCACCGGATGAAATATGAAAAAAACGACGCATAAAAGCAGACTGGAAGTAAAACAATAATTCTAAAGCTCACAACTTAGAACACTGAACGCCGAGCACTTTGAACCTAACTTAACAATCGTAGATAAGCGTAACGCCAAAAACCCAATAGGACTTCGCCAAAATTAATCCTCAGCCACTTTCCCGAAAGCATGTCGAATCCTCAAACAGCTTCATCCAACGTCCAGTGGCGGCGGAACAGCTTCAATTAAGGGGGGGGGGGGGGCGGGCACTGCCGACATTTGGTCCCATTCTTTCCATGCATGCCGATAGTTAAAAAGCCAAAATCAAATGGGGGGGGGGCACGGTGCCCCGGTATCCCCCCCCGTTCCGCCGCCTATGCCAGCGTCTGATATACATGTTTCCAGAAGAGCAAGCAAAGCTTCACATTTTCGATAACAGCCTGAATTACCGCTTCTTTTTTTTCACTGCGCGGCGTCACTGTCGGTCGCTCAGCCTGCGTTACACAGACGCAGTAAGATGCGTATTGGAAGTAAAACGATTATTCTAAAGCTCACAACTTAGAACACTGAACGCCGAGCACTTTGTACCTAACTTAGCGTAACGCCAAAAACCCAATAGGACTTCGCCAAAATCAATCCCCAGCCACTTTTCCGAAAACATATCAATCCTCAAACAGCTTCATCCAACGTCCAGTGGCGGCGGAACAGCTTCAATTAAGGGGAGGGGGGGGGGGGGCACTGCCGACATTTGGTCCCATTCTTTCCATGCATGCCCATAGTTAAAAAGCCGCCATGCGTAAGACTAAGGCCCTGGGCATCTCGGTCCACGCATCACCCGTCCACTGCTGCCACCGCTGCGTACCTCTACCACGAACACCACTGGCGCCAGAACGCGACCTTGTGGTAACCCGCGAGCGGACAGTTCGAGCGAGTAACGGTGCACCGCTCTGAAGTCATGTCACCCCGATCAGCACCAGTTGCAACGGGATAAGATAGGCGTCGGTCCCCTTCATGCATCATGCAGGGATATGTAAGGGGAGACGTTTGCTGCGCTCGACATGACACAGGTCGATGTCAGCGAAGGGGCGGTGCATGTGACTAGCGCTGGTGAGGGTCTGTTCCACTTTGGTCACAGTATCAGTCAGCTCGGTAGATTGGTCGGGTTGGTGGTTTATAAAACGCTTGCACAGTTGCAGGCCGACGATGCAAGATTACTTGCGCCTATGTGGCTATGGAATTGACATGAACCGTTGATCCGTGCAATGTGAAGATAGCCGGAGATACTGAATAAAATTTCGCCATTAGTGGTTGGAGCTCTCAAAACGTTATAAACTGCTTCATGTTGTGTGTGGTAAACGTGCCCGGTATAAAACCGTTAACACTTTGTCAGACGAGAACTCACTGCTTCTAACAAATATTTATCCCCAGTCCCCTGGGGGCAACACAGCAAATGTCCCGACCTGAATGTACGCAAGCTGCCCGCACTATACGCACATCCGCCCGCAGATGTCTGCGCAAGTGCCGGCCTTGAACGCTGGGGTCGGTAAGCCGCACGACGTCTCGTTTGCAGCAGAGCCTGGCAAACGCGACAAGCTTGTATAGAAGCGGCCAGTCGCCATCTGGGGCAAAAACTTAAGGTCGGGCTTTTTGCAGACTTCTGCACGATTGCATCTGCAGACTGTAACGTCCAAAAGCGGCTCTTGTATTTCCTGGTTGTTCAGCTTTTGGACTGAAGTTTATGTTACAGCACTCATGGGTTTTCCAAATCGGGTATGATTCGGTGGCATGGATGCAGCGATATGTTGCGTGATAAAACTTCAAATACCTTCTTTGAACACATTTTACTGCTGCTCGCTGGATATGCCAGATCTATAGCGTGCAAGGTCTTAAATCCCCGTACAATGAACAGAAATGCAAGCAGTTCCAAAAACCTAATGTTTACTACGGACAACAAAAATTGGCTCCGGATCCGCACTACCACCTTGGTGTACCTACAGAAAAACATACATTAAAACTGTCGCATTTGGCTAACACCACTGTCGCGACTTCCGACGGTTTGAGCCCTGCGTACAGTCCGACACGATGTCAAATCCACTGCTAGAAGGGACAACGCCATGCTAGCTGACGTTACCTTCACATGAGATGAGTTCAGTTATCTGATGCACCAGGCCAAGCGCACGCACATTCACTGTGGGCTCACCAAATACGGATTGTAGATCTCCCTCTGTGAAGCTGTATGTCTCAGAAATTAAGGGGATAATCCCGCTGCAAAATCCAACAAACGCACTCACTTCGACCTCTTTGGACACGATATGACGTGACGTGCGTCGGAGAACCGTTACAGACGACGCCTAAAAAACTTAACATCTCATACAAGGGGTCTCATTTCAACAGAGGGCATCGACCGAGGCCGAGCAGCTCAACCACAAAGGACAGGGTTTAGCAGGACTTGAGCTGCTTGTGACGCGAGGGCCAACCCTACCGAACCGTTCATTTGGCATTTCGCACCATCCTTCCCTGAGCCGTGCATGACCGTAAATACAGCTGCGAGCTGCCCAAGTCAGCGGGTTTCCCGGATACCCCGGCGCTCCAGTTTCCTGAATAGTTTTCTGTATTGTGAGGCATTAATGACGCACCTACCACAGCGTGGGTCTCAGACATCCCCTGGTGCCGTGGCTTACGGACTGCCGCCGGTATTTGGGAAGTTCTGAAGGTCACCACGCTTCCATTGGCGCACCATAACCCGTTATTGTCATCCAACGTGTGTTCACCGACTGACGGGGCGCAGTTGTGGGCGTTTACTGCGGTCTAGGACACTTCCTGCCTTTGTGTGCTGGCGGTGCGCGGTGTCCTTTCACCGTTCCCACTGTATTTGGGGTGTTTGAAATGTCCTCTGCCGCAGTGACCCCCTGATCCCTGCAGCTTATCCGCTATGTCGCCCCAGGCGACAAACGGAATCCGCTTCGTAAAAGTGATGAGCTTTTTACGATCATGGCCCTCATAATCTCATCAGTAGCTGCTACGACCTGTCATAGTTACAAGCGAAGGAGAAAAACAATCAACTTATATGTGTTTATTGTCTGTTGTATTTGTACATAACAATCATTCAAGAGTGCTCACGAAATGCAATGAAGATCCACCCTACATCATTCAGGCACACAGGCCCTGGGCTGACATTCCGACACCCAGCCAAGCATGAACCTACGACACGCCAAACACCAAAATGAAGGCACATGCCAGTCCGAAACTGGCAACATGTATCATGAACATCACTTTTCCTCGCGTTTGCCTTGGTTCGTTCCTACAAGCGCAAAAAGGCAGAGTGTTTCACACCACAAAAAGCATCACAGCTCGACAGCAACTGGTTGCGGGGACCTGCTCCACTGAATCTACAGGTTGGTGGTAAGCCATCGCTCAACCACCGGCGGCAGTCATGAAGGACGGCCCAAGAAGAGTCGGAAACCACAACACGACGCCTGCGCCCTTGCAAGGCGCGCACCATCAGGAGAGCAGAGACATCAGGAACGTGTTCACCAGCTGGGGATGCCGAAGCGCTCTATCCTCTTGTCCTGCTCGGTCAGATCCTTCTGCACCTTCTTCCGCATGTAGAAGATGGGACAGTCCCGGCTGTGGACAAGAGACGAAATGAGATTGCAGTGTCGCGATGCCTTACCACAAGACATTGGAGCGAAGGGTACCATGAGCAATGATCACCATAGGTGGTTGTCTACTGTCTAGCTCAACATGCATTATCTACTTCATGGTATGCTTGGCACAGCTGTACAGGATAAGAAGAAAAACCGCGTGGGAAAGAGCGCTGATAAGTAATGAATGAGCTATGTCTTTGTTTGCGCTCACGCAATACCACTTCGATAAGGAACTTTTGGTGATTACCAACAAATACAAGGCAATTAACTTCAGAACATGGAACCCAACACGCAAGCCGCTTGCTTGCATCACCTTTGACCGCTAGATATGAGGAGGAAGGACGCGGGGTAACTAGGCCATGCATTTCACAAGGACTGATCGCAAGTTTTCACTCACGTTTCACACGCATCGGTAACGTCAGGTGGCTCGCATTCGACGCAAAAATGTGCACGAAGCAGAACTAGGTCTTGTTTATAGATAGCTTCGGTGCATATAAGTGTACATTTCCGGCCGAAATTCAGGCATGCGATCGAACCAATGCATGGGAGCCAGCACCTTAGAACACGCACATGCTAATCTGGGGAACAACTCGAACTAAGGCTAACCACAGCAATACGTTGATAAGCGGTATTTATAACAGGCAATTATACCCAGATGAATATCAGACTATTCGGGTGACCATGGACACCGGTAACTGTGGTGACATGAACAACATCTGGCTTAAAATAGAACCCACCCGAAGCTGAATGGCAGCACACAATGAATACAACTACTGGCTATTGACTAAACTAAAAGGAAAACCCTTTAACACAACATAAGTCAGGATAGTACTCACCTTTACGGATGATGATGACGGTCCGGATTAAGGGATCATTTAAAGGGAAAATATGAATAAAAACTCACTAAACTTGTACTTAAAGCCGAATATGTTCCGGGACAAAAAAAAAAACGCAATCGGGCAAACGAATATTAAAAACAATGATGAAGTAATGAAAATTATTGTATTTAGCTATCGCTAGAGAACTACGGATGCATGTGATGTTAATTTCATCAGATACGATCAAATGGAATAAAAGAACATCTGGCATCTTGTTAGGACGAAGGGACGTTATCAATACGTCGAAGGCATCGGTTGAAATCCGGCATTTCATAAAATACACCCCATCCCCACCGCCACCTCTACGAGTATACATCCAGAGGGAAGGGAAGGGAAAAGGAGGCAAGAACGCCCAAGTGCACGACAAGTAAAGTTGATATAAATTATTTGCCTATGTCAGCTGCACATATTTAGTAAGCCGCTTAGCGGCATTCTCTTCTTCAGCGTCTAGAGAGAAATGTACATATAGAGCACAGACTGAAGCGGACTAAGCAATCCACATTCCTTACATCCCTTTTGGAATACACCTATTCTCGAGAGAAGGAGGGATCTGTCCGATGGTAGCACCGCTTCAATAGAAGCGCCCCCTCTCGTCTCTCCCAGTTACGGTCGATCCTCCCTTCTCTCTCCTTTCTCTCTCTATCCTCTCCCCGTCTCTCACCTGGTACAGATAACCTCTTCATGAAGACTGCCCTGACAGCGCTGACACTGTGTCCACAGCCGGCCGAACTTGGCCTCCAGGGCTGACAGAGCCGTCATCTCTCGCTGGTAGATCTCACCCTCCTTCTCCTGAAAAGTTGAAGATATAAGGGTGTCCGTCAAAATTCGTGGAGATATGCTGTCCCACGATTTCAATAATGCCTCACGTCAATAAATGAGCTTATTTCAGCGTAACACGGGTCCGTACGCGAGATTTGGACATTCGATTGAAGAAAAAAAAAATCATTGAAAAGGCAACAGCAAAGTGGCAAAAAAATTGGACATCTTTCCAAAACCGTGCTTTTGTGTGCCTATGTATTTTAGCTTGTCCCACAACCTGGGAAAAAAATCTACAGCGCTGCTGTGTAGTTATTTTTAGAGATAATTGAGCGCGAGGGAGCGTTGTGAATAGCAAAAACATTGAAATTTCTCTTCATGGCTCTTATTTTTTGGTTATACAATTTAGCAAAACTGCACAACGCAAAAACGTCTGTCCCACGGTTTTTGGCAATTTTTTTTTCCTGGGTCACGTTTGTTTCTGGGTCACGGTACTTAGCTCCTCATTCAAAGCATTACGGACCGGGTAAGCAGGGTCTGCAGACTTGCATATGGTCCTATCCCGCGAAGGCGCAGAAAGCGGGGGCGGAAACTGAAAACTGTCAGTTGGGCTGGGCGAGCCCAGGGGAAATCATCTCCTGCGTGCCATAAGATTTCTTTATTCTGGGTCACACGCCCTTGTGGCTTGTGGCTGGTAAGTGTCGAAAAGAATCACAGTGTCGTGTTGCTGCGTGCTCAGGTACCTACTCAAGATAAGATGCACTTGGAGATTAGTATTCGATAACAAACTTGCCATATTCGGAAAACTGTAAAAACCATTCCCCTGGGTCACGCATTTTTTTTTTCTTCTGGGTCACGAATTTTAGCGTGACCCAGGAAAAAAATCGTGACCCAGAAGAGAAATTCTGCCCACCTACATCATCAAGACATGCAAGTCTTTCCGCCTACGTGTGGAGAAGGTCATTGCCGATAAGGGGGTTATATCGCGCATGAGGTGAGTGAACGTATCTGGTTTGATAATGCGTGACCCAGAAGAAAATTTTATTTTTTCTGGGTCACGGACCATTTTACGCGCATGCGCAATTGCATTTTTGAATAATTTCAACTGTGAACAGCCTAGGGTGCATGGTTTATGAAAAGGTAATGATTTCTAGGAAATCAGTTGTGGGACAAATATCGACCCAAATCTCCACGAATTTTGACGGGTACCCATAAAACAAACTCAGGGCACGGTCGGGACCTGGTAAATGAAGCCGACGAGGCCGCCCGCACACCAGAAAGAACATCTCACTTATCACTACTTGAGAAAAAGTCACATTTACGTCATTTGAACAAACGAGACCTAGTACTTGCCCAAGTCATACTGAATTCATAAAACCAAAAATCTAAGAACATTGATTATTTCAATTAGCTACGCGCCATAACTTCGCTTCATTATCCACGCATGAAATGTCACAGGTATGCTACCGCCGCATTAACGACCTATACCCATTCGAATGAATCTCAAACGCAAAATATCATAGCTGTAGGGACCTCAGTGTAAAGCGGTCCTCATAAGGTGGTCCATGCATTACCCTAGCGTTCCACAGTGCCAGAGCGATAAACCACTAAAACGACAACCGTAGGCAGCAGAGTAGCTACTAATCGCATTGCGATTTGGAGTAATCGCATCAGAACCCTCGCATGCACCCAGTGTAGGTTACCTTGCAGTAGGGGCACACCGCCTGGGTTTCATCCTTCAGCACCGTCTTGCAGCCCAGGCACTGGGCGGCCTTCTTGGTAAAGGCGAACAGAGAGCCCGCCTTGGAGGTAACCACTTTCTTTGTGCGCGTGTGCTCACCCTCTGTGAACGGAAAAAACGGAACATGGTATTAGCGGGCTGGGCGCAAGAGATGAGGTTTGAAACATGACAGTTTGGGCGGTTTGAGGCATAATGTGAAACTCGACTTACATACCATGATGTCTACATAAGATGTGGTATCATACATGTTATGGTATATTTAAAGGAGAGAAAAAAAGTCATAGACATGGTTCGTCTGAAAGCTCTGTAGGTATGCCATTTGTGTGATACTATCCCACCTCCATGTTGCACGTTACGTGTGATTTTAGTCACCGACAAACGGAAATCCTACCACAGAAACACGCTTTAGGAAAGCCGCGTCAAAGTGACATGAGACAAATACAGCTTAAAACTTCCTCCGGTAGTGACCTAAGCTTTTTTTCCCGGCGATTCCGTCGCCGTTACTCACTGAGCAAGATCGACTCGGCCTTGTTCTCTCCGAGGATGGGCTCGAAGATGCGCAGCAGCGGCTTGCTCAGCTGGTTCTCCAGGTAGTACTGACAGTCGATCGGCACACTATTCTCCAGCACGTAAATCGGGTCCTGGAACATACACACCGGGACGGTGATACATGAACGCAAGCTAAAAGTGTCATTGTTCCTTGATGAACATTGTCCAGCTCTAAGGCAGACTATCATTTTTCTTCTTCTTGTGAATGCCTTATTTAATTGTAAATAAAAAGTGTCGAATAAAAATATTCACTAAATCTGATGTCAAACTCCGAAGCTTTCAGAGGAAAAAGTTCTTTCAGAGTCCAATGGCACAAGGTCCCCGACTAACCGTCCGAACTCACGCCGGGGCCGCGGCTTACAAACGTACAATCAAGTCATATTATCAACCCGTCGTGTTAAAGTACACGAGATACCCTCTCAAGTAACACCAAAGTAACAATAATTCTTTGCAAGATCACTGTCAACTCGCGACCATCACACACTACACATGGCACCAGATTCTGAGGAATTACATCGCTTTTGGGAAAACATGAAGGCACTTGTTTGCCCACTCCTAGGTGTGAAACCGGTCGACAGACCCGTCCTACATTCTTTGCGAGGCATGTGTAGAGCTCGTGCTCCAGTCTGGGCCGCTCGTATCACGTCTAATTTCGCGCAGTATCATGGGCTCCGTGGTGCCCTCCCCCCCCCCGAGGTGAGAAAATAACTCAACCAAGGCCGGCTCAGACTGAACCAATAACCCCTAAGGTCCCCGACATTTGGTCTCTAAAAAGGATCAAAACAAAACGTGACATTTATCCTACACATCTCCATTTTGTAGACAATCCAGCATCCCGACGCGATGACCGCGGGTGGTCGCAAATAAGAATCAAACCACATCACGTCATCCCACACTCCAGATCCAAGCCCCATATCCCCTCCACCACTACATTGTTCCAACCCGGATCACTCACCTCAGCCTTATCATAGGCGGGCGTGTTCTTGGGTGCCGCGATGATCACATAGGGCACACGGTCGCCGAGTTTGGGCGCGTTGCCCGGGTCTCGCTTCTTCATCTTGTTGGCCAGCTGGACGTGCGCCTGCTTGGCGCTATAGTCGGCGTCCGTCTTGGTGAGCTCCTTGCTGATGACCAGCTGGCTGATGTCGATTCGGTTGCAGAGCAGGTCGGAGATGACCTGCTTGGCGTGGTCCACGGCGCCGTCCGGGTCCCTGGCGGGGCGGAGAGATGTGGTTTGGTCAGATGGTATTGGCGAGGGGCTGAATATTTCGTGCTTTGATGTTATAAAAAGCTGGCAGTCCCGCAATGTGAAGTGCTGGAGCCGTAAAGATTCTAGCAGATACAGTCCTATAAACGCGGAGAAAAAGCAGTCAATCTTCGCATTTCATAAGACACATAATTTCTGTCACAGTAGGGATAAGACATGAGAGTAAGTTCGTTAATACAGACGTCCGACAACCGAGGTACGGAAGTCTTAAAAGTGCACATAAAAACGCCCTACACAGATTCACAGCCACTAATTCCGTGCCTCACCACGCCACCTATCGGTCGTTCAATAGTGAGCTCGCCAAATCAATCACCCCACCTCCGGTCCTTTTTCATCTCAGGACCTCATTATCTCCTCAGTCCTAACCAGGGCTGCGGAGTCGACCTCGTTCGGAGTCGACAGTTCAGACCGGAGTCGGAGTCGAATTTGGAAGCCGGAGTTTCAAAGCGGAGTCGGGGTATCGAAAATCCATCAGCTTCACAGACCTGCCAAGGCTGCTGAGTAGGAGCAATACAAAATCCATCCATTCCGCAGCCTTGGTCATAACAACACAGCACCCACCACCGCCCGTCCAGCGCTCACCGTTCGATGAGCAGCTTCTGCAGACAAACGTTGATGAGGTTTCCCAGCAGGGGGCAGTTGTCACGGCGTACCGTCTCGATTCCCTTACAGTCCATCTTGTCGTGAATCTCAGGTCGTGTGAAGTACAGACCAGCGTAGCGCTTCTTGTTGATCAGCAGGTACGGGAAGTATACCTGAAAGAGAGCGGAGCTGACTGAAGGCACGAGCATCTAGCTTTCGAACTTTGTCATCGTGGCAGGTTGACTACAATGATATAACTTGACCAGCCTACGTAGGAGAGACAGACAAGCCACAACAGGAAACGAGATAACCGATTAATCAGAGAAAGCGACACCTTTAACAGCTTTCAGGGTATTTAGGGTATTTATCCATCGTATGCATAAACAGATTAAAATTAACCAGCACTAAGGCATCTGCCAGACACGGTTGATACGATGCTCAACAACTGAATATCACCGTTCAATGAACGACAACAAAAAACAAGGTGATGGTCAAATGTAATAGAACGTTTTTTTTTTTGTACGTCCGCTGTGTTGCAGACACAACGCAGACACACAGACATACCTTCTCGAACTCGAGTTTGATGGGGTTGACGAACTTCCCCGAGACGAAGGCGGCCGCCTCGTTTCCCAGTTCCATGGCATCTTTGACAGTACTGACTCCGAACCGAACCATCACGGAGTCGGTGTCACCGTAAATCACCTGAGCGGAGTCAGAGAGTCGGGTCACCGTAAATCACCTGAGCGGAGTCAGAGAGTCAGATGACCGTAAATCACCTGAGCGGAGTCAATCAAACTCAGACGTAATCGGAATTAACACCACTGCGTCCTGTCACCAACAACTCGCCTGAGGTACAAAAATGACTGAATGCTATGCCTATTTTGAAGTTGCACTGCAAAATCATCTAGTGGAACGACATACAGGATGTTTCACTAAAAGTGTCAAAAAGTAAAAGGTCATAATGCACATAATAACAATGTTTTCTAAGGAAATTTGCATATCATTTCATCCGCAATTGTTGGACATTTGAATATATAAAAACGATATCACCGTCACTCGAACCTATTCCACACATCTGCCCCTTCTTTTGATGCACCGTTTCGGCACGTGTCCGGAGGTGCCTCACAGCCCGTTTTCATCTTCAGCGTCCAGACTGTCGGCAAAGCCTTGAATTGTGCTCTTCAGCTCCCGAAGTGATGCGACTTGAGTTTTCCTCAGCTCTGCGAGGGCTACTGAGTCACTGACCAAACCAGAGGCTTAGCGGTGACAGATCGGGGCTTCGCGCTGGCCAGGGGCGGGCGGCGAGGCAGCTGATTATTCGGCCCAGGAGCTTCTGGTCCAGTCAGTTCCTGGTGGCTACAGCCGTTACAGTGGTTGATTTTAATAACTTGTAAGGCCCTGGCTATTTCTGATGTTGGAATTAGCTTCTTGTTATCTTCAAAGGCCCTCAAAAAGACCCTGACCTTCTCAACGGTTTCCGCCGAGAGGTGGGGGCAACCCCGCCTTTTTTGGACTGGAACCGGCATCGAAGGAACCCTTTTAAACCTCTCAACAAGCCCTTTGGAACTTTTATAATCTGGAACGTAGCGAGGTGAGAGAGTAAAAAGTTTCCTGAAAAGTCGGCATACGGTTTCAATGTTTCTGATGGCACCAAATGTACATAAGTGTAATTCATCCCTCCTGTTGCGGTGTAAATAACCTGTTCTTGTTCTGCATAAGGAAAAAATGACTAGTAACTTTGGCCTCCTGCCCTCGCTCCGTACGAGTGTAAAATATATCTTAAATGGATAAATAATAAATGTCCAAAAATTTGCAACAAAGCCACGTGCGCAGCCACGTGATTTGCATATTCTATATATCTTTAATAGGCATTTACTTTTTGACACTTTTAGTGAAACACCCTGTAGGTACTAAATCACATAGTGGAGGGAAACATAACACGGGGGAAACAAAGCACCCACCACCGGGTGTTTTGTTCCCCGGTCAGGTGAAAATGACTTGTTCGCCTGTGTTTTATTGCAATATTAATCAACAACTAATAAGCATTCCCGTGAGCCCTTACACCTGACCGCAAATGCCAATGACACAAACACCGAACCCAATGATCACTCTAGCGGCAGTCAGTGGATCCGTTTTTCCTGGTGATGCGCGGCCCCCGTCCTACCTTGGCGTCGTGTTTGTAGCCATTGGCGATGTTGTAGCGCTTCTCCACCTCCTCTTTGGTCTTTTCGATCATCATGCGTCCGAAGGCGGTGACGCTCTGCGAAATCTCCAGACAGGGCAGCTTGCCGACCGTGGCACCCGTGAAGCCGTATACAGAGTTGGCGCTGATCTACCAGGGTTCAGAAGCACGGATAATGTCACGGTTCAGGTAACGACTATCATCTCGAGGGGCGAGAAACATTGTCAGCTTCAACAGGGAAACATACCGAGCTGTGCATCAGTAAACAACGAACCGAGTGTGATTGACAAAGCCAAAACAACATAAGCGAACAATCGAGCTCGGTATTCGATAATCTTCGGCGGCTCTTACAAACCGCGCTGACGGTCTTCTCGTACCTACCTTCAGGGCCAGCTGCCTGCCATCCAGCACCTGCTTCCGTAGCGGGTCCGTCTCCTTCTTCAGATCGCCCTTGGCCTTCTTTCGGGCCGCCAGTAGCTCTCGGAGAATTTCCGGCAGCAGACCCGGCCGCAGTGACGGCTTCACAAACAGGTTTCCAGAAGGCGTCTTGATGTACTGGTCTGGCTTCAGGCTGTGGGAGGAATCAGCAGTTGTTAGAGTACAGAGGCTATCGGAGAGACCAGGCAAAACGCAGGGCTGAGACGGATGGACATTGGACATGCCTCTGGGGTGAAGAGTGCTGGCGCGGGTAGCTGAGAGAGGAACAGGTCAAACAATCATAAGGGAGGATGGATATAATACATAATTGAGTGAAAAGCGACTCGCAGGATAAATGGAATCAAGTCCGAATTTTTACCATCTGTCAGATTGAAGGGGATGAGATGAGATCAATAATGTAAGCGTCCCCGAGATTTTAAGACTATACAACTGTAAGAGCCAGATACGCAGTAGGTACTTGCACGAGCCAGCGACGCAGTAAGATACCGCAAGAGTCAGTGAGGTCGACTGGTGTTGAATGTTTGCATCGAAGCGGCTATCCGTGCAACGCAGCTGACACAAATAACACCGTAAGGAGTCCCCTGGCTAACCGAACAGCGCCGTCGATAAACATAGACGACGCTCCTTCTAGAGGCCATCACAAACACAGGGCGACGGGGCGAAGCCGGCGCCGCGCAGTTGATCGGCGACTGTCCTCAGAGCAACACTGCATTGTCCCGTGACTTCGATCAGAGGTTCAACATGCGCTTCAAGCTGGTGCTGGCCGTGCTGGCCACTGTGTTGCCGGACATAGTCCAGTGCAGCGGCCCGGGACCCTGGCGGAACTTCAACGAGCCGTCCAACATTGTCGGTACCGGCGGGAGTTTTTCTGACGCCACCGCTGTCGAGTCGTTTCCGGATTCGCTCACTGCGATGCTGGAGGAAATAGCTAAAGTTCAGCAGCAGATGGCCAGCCGGATGAAAAGCGTCGAGAGAGTCCTATCCCGAGAGCTGAGCGCTCTGTCTCAATGTGCCTGCAGTGGCCATCGATCGACACCAGTGCTCAGCAGTCGCTGTGAGACCCATCTCGACTGTTCCAGTCGTCTCGAGGGCTCCGTCTGCTCCGCTCGAGGCATCTGTGTCTGCGACCACGGCTACTGGACCGAGGAGAACGTGTCGTGCCACCGAACGGTGGGTGAGACTAGCGCGTGCCAAGACGACAGACAGTGCGCTGGTGAGCTCGTCTGCTACCGCGGACAGTGTTCCTGCCCAGTGACGGACATCGGGCAGTACCAATATCGGCTGGCCGGGGGACCGCACTGTCGACGGGGCCGGGTGGAGTTGAGCTATAAGCGCCGTGCCTGGGGTCTGGTCTGTGATGACTATTGGGATCAACCAGATGCCCATGTACTCTGCCGCTCCTTGGGGTTCGAGTCCGGAGCCGCTCAAATAGAAGCTACACAATATGGCGGAGAAGATAACTTTTACCTTGACGACTTGAAGTGTAATGGAACGGAGAGCAGCCTCATAGAATGCCGGCAAAACACATGGGGTAGTGAAAACTGCGAAGCTGATGAAGTAGCGGGCGTCATATGCCACATTAACAATATTCCATAATCAACAGGACTAGCCAGCGGATTCCGACACAAGCTCCGGTTCACGTAACATCACCCGACGCATTTATAACTAGTAGAGACGTAGAGTGAGCATCGCTTTTTAACAGATCCAGACCAAATTTTTAATACCTAGACCAAGTGGGAAGAGTGCTGCGCTAGAACAAAAAAGTGCCTTGGTGGTCAACGAACAGGTATTCTTCACTGACAGATTTATTGTCGGGCTGGTCCAGCCCAGAGAACAAAAAGCGCTGACGGGATTTCGCGCAGTATTAACAGTTAACACACGCTGAAGTTCGTGCGAGTTGTACGACCCACACGGCTTTGCGTGGCTATTGTACATCAAGTCTCGTCCTGAATCATTGCCGGCCATGCGCCGCCCTAAAAATGAAACCGTTTGAAACGTGCCACCGCCACGGGTACAGCTGTGCTTGAATGGTCCAGCTTCTGACTGAATGTCGCAAGACAGCTGCTCCCATACTCGTAAAGGGCAGCCGATCTGTGACATTCACTGACACACCAAGCGTCTATGTGCTTTTGTAGTGTATGTATTAGTGATGCCTAGTTGCCTATGCTTGTTCGCCATGTTGGGGCCGCAATAATAGCCATTTTGTGTATAAAACACTTCACTTCATGAGCGCTGTCTGACAGGATCTTGATGCGATGCTCAACAAACTGTATAGCGCAAATATCAGTAATGGTCACAACTTTCAAATACGTTTTGTTCAAGTTATTACAGTCCCCTGAGGTGGGGCGGGGGCGTGGGTGGGGGTGGGGGTGGGGGTGGGGGGGGGGGGGGGTGGGGTGGGGTGGGGGGTGGGGGGGGGGGTGGGGAAGTTGACAGCAGTCGTGGAGCCCTCACAATTGCAGAACAGATTATACATGCACAGAAAAAAGGGGGCAGTGGAAGCCTCAGTAAAGAGTGGACGAAGGGTAGACAGAAAATCGGTGGTCGGGAAACTGCCTCAGTTGAGTTTGTGCTCAGCGGCGGCTCTACGACTCTGTTTGTCGGAGCCAGCCTCACCAGTTAGCACTGACATCATCGGCCGTATATTCGGAGACTGGGAATGACGTCATAGGTTTACTTCAGAGGTGTCATGGGTTCGCAATATCAGAGAAGCCTGCCAGGGCTGCGAAGTCGGAGTCGGCCGGAGTCAACAGTTCTGACCGGGATCGGAATCGGAGTCAATTTTGGAAACCGGAGCCGGAGTCGGAGTCACCGATAATCCATCGACTCCGCAGACTTGGCAGGACTGCGGAGTCGGAGTCGAAAGTTCTACCCCGAGTCGGACTCGGAGTTGGTTTTTGGAAGTCGGAGTAGGAGTCGGAGTCACCGAAAATTCATCGACTCCGCAGCCCTGCCTGACACACAACTGAACAGCGGGGTACTGTCTGGTCAAACATGGCGTACAAATAGATTCCTCTCAACATAGCATCGGTGATACACAGTACACACTCAAAGTCATGGTCCAAAAAACCCTCGTCTTCTTTAAAAACGAAAACAACTCCGTTCAATACAGTCCGCGGTACACCCTACATGCATGAAAAACCCATACTTACCCGTACTTGTCGATGTCCTTGGGCTCCAGTAGCGAAGTGTAGCAGAGGTTATGCGCCATCATGATGCTCGGATACAGACTGCTGAAGTCGAGGGTGGCGATGGGCACGTCATAGTAGCCCTTGCGCGGCTCGATCACAGTAGCTCCTTCAAACGACTCGCCGGTGTCACCGCCCTTGTTTTCATACACGGGCATCACCAACCCCTGCTGCCGCGCCTGTGGGGGTAGATCGGGAGGGAGAGTTTGACACAGGTGGCACGAGAGTGGCCGACAACGGATCCGCAGCCCACTGACGGGGCAGGAAGGAGTTCGATGAGCGACATGGCCGTACGGGGCAGGTAAACAAGCAGCCGCGGGACAGGGACAGGAAAATAGAGTCAGTGAACAACTAGCAGCACCTGAGGGCACGGGCAAGAAGAGCGGAAATGTCCGAAAATTCACGGAGCTGAAAAGTGGTAGGTACAGTCTTCCACGAAGCCCGACGAATCCAAGTCCTCTCACCTTTCTCAGCAGCTGTGAGACAACCTTGATCTGCTGTCCGCGCGTTAGTAGGAAAGACATGGGCACGCCCGTGACGCGCGCCATCTCCATGTAGTTGATGACACACATCAGCTTGTCGATCAGCTTCAGCGGCAGGTAGGCGTCCTTCAGACAGTACACTGCCAGCCTGTGGAGCACACACTCATGGTGAAAGACCGTCTAAAGACTGTTGTGTCAAACGGTAAACCCTGTGGGGTACACACTGGTGTAACTAGATTTCTTGTCTGTGTAGGTATGGGTGGAGGCTTATTGGGGAATACCGAATGTGGAGCTTAGTTGGAGGTGATAGGGTAGGGTATAAAGACACGGCCAATCTTCTCAGTGTTCAAAGCTACTCGCGGGAGACCAGCATTCGTAAGAAGTTAGCAGGTTTCATGCATATTAACGCACAATTAATATCAAACGCCGAAGATACGTTACGTTTTCATAAAATATCTAACCTGATTCCCCAGCACCATTGCCACCTACCGAGCCACATAAACGAAGAACAGCATTCATTACAAATCGTCACCTCCGTTTCTCATCCAGGCAATACTAGCCTCTTAAGCTGGAACAGAGAGCACTAATTCGCATGCCACAGCGACAGCGGAAGGACCGGGAGGAGGGCCAGCTGACCTGCGCCGAGTGTGGGCGTCTCCCTCCTGCAGCGTGCTGATCATGTTGTGGTGCACGTCCTCCTTCTGCTCTTGTAGAAAGTGGAACGATACGGCGTTCAGCGAATAGGAGCGCAGCTTGTACTCGCGGCGGAGGAACTGAAATCAGAGTGCCGTCATCAGAGTGCCGCACTGTGTCAAGGGAATGACGAGAGGGTCACTGCATTTTGAGTGACGAAGAATGCGCAGCTCAGTGCACACCTTTTACCTTCTAAAGACCAGTCAAACTGAGTGCAAGTTTGACCTAGGGACGAGATGACAGATCAATAAATATGATGCCAAAAACACGAGGAGGTATGCTCACAATCTTATTGCGATTGCATTTACAACCCTACTACAGACTTCAAATGACACACCAAAATATAAAGTCATGTCAAATAAGGAGCCAACGACAATGCCCCAGTCGCAGGGGTGGGGGTGGGGGTTGGGGGGGTTGGGGGGGGGGGGGGCTCGCTCACCATGATGAGGTCGAACTGTGTGCGACCCTCGGTGTTGATCGTGTTGCTCTCCCGCTTGCCCATCTGCTTGCTCTGTAAAACCGTAGTCTTCACCTCGGTCCTATGACGACAAAATTCCATCAGTTTTACAATGCTTGAAGCTATGAAACATAATGCGCTGTCTACACAGAACATAAGTTTATGATCGAAGAAGTACCAGTTTCGAGATTAATGAAAGCCATAACATGTGAACCCATCAGTTTATAGCAGTGGACAGGAGTGTGGGTCCACCGTTCTCTGGGAGCTGGATCACTGTCAGAATAATAACGACATCCACATTCTAAGGCGCATGAGCTAATGCAATAACAAAACACGCTACCATACTACTGACCTCCTGCCGCGAATCCTGCCCAAAAAGGGGAAGGTGGCCACCTTCAGAGCCTTGGCCCGGTTGATGAGGTACGGCAGGTCAAAGTTGTTGATGTTGTAGCCGGTGATGATGTCAGGGTCCACTTGACGAATGAAGTCCGCCCAGTCCTGGACCGAAGAATAAATGCATATGAATGACACTCTATTCATAATACAGAAACAAAGAAAGAACGTTACCCGGAACGACACACTCATGCAGCTGATTACGGAGCGAGCGAAGCGAGCGGAGTCTCATACTGAATTAAGGGAAAATCCTGAGTATGAGCGGCCGGCCGGCCGGCCGGTCGGCCGTGGGGACGCTCTTCATAAGCTAATATCTTCGGAACGGGACATCCGATTGACAAGCGGTCTTCTTTACTGAATGTCACTTGGACGTAAAAGTTCTGTGGTGTGATGGCCACCATGCGTTCTTGCCAACCACCGCACGTGGCGCGTGGTAAAGTTGGACATTTTTTAAGAACCCCTAAAATTGCAACCTCAATAACGGCACAACGGTTGGGCCGATTGAATTGAAACTCGGTACACAGTTAGGTCTCCATCAGATAATTCATCTGCATGTGTTAAGGTTGGGGTGCTACAGCACGTGCGCACGTGCAGGGGGCGCTCCCAGATCTCGAGAACGGCTGGGCCGATTGCGCTCAAATTTAGTACACGGTTGGGGACCAGTTAGTAGGGTGCCGTGCAAAAGTCAGTTTGGACCCCGCGCTTGCACGTGCGCACGTGCAGTGTGCCGCTTCCAGATCTCGAGAACGGCTAGGCCGATTGCGCTGAAATTTGGCACATCGCTAAAGACCGGTTAGTAGGGTGCAGTGCACAAGTTAGTTGGAGGTACCCCCTAGCAATTTCGCACGTGCAAGGCCCATCCTCTTGCTCGCTCCGTTGGTCGCCCAAAAGGCGTTTTACTGGTAACATAGTTACTCTAGTTGAACAATACGCCCCCAAATTTAGCCGGGATAAATATATAAAAGAATCCGGGCCCAACCTAAACCCATCCTTACAAATACCCTTCTGACCCAGCAAGGTCTATGGGAATACGGACTAACCAAATATTTAGTAGCTGAGAGGCCTCGAGTCCCGGGCTGACCTTGTGCGATTGGTTGACCAAACAGAGTCCAAACTTGGTCCAAACCAAGTCTGACAGACCTAACAAACCCGTCACCGACTGACCCTGAGCAGGACGCCCTCGTCTTCATAGCTGCGTACGTCGGAGCCCACGACGGGCGCGCACGACTTCAGAGTGAAGATGTTGCGGATGAAAGGATCCTTGTCCCCCTGGTTGATGACCATGTTGGCGATCTGAATGACGGCGTCCTTTTCCGGCTCCGGAAATATACCTGTGGGTGACGGTCAGGTGATATAAGGATAATAAATCTAGCCACTGACAGGTCAATGCACGCAAAATGGCTTGATGAAATTGACTGGTGGACCAAGTTGTGAGTTGACTGAAAAAAGTTCGTTGGTGTTTGTGGAACGTTTAAAAAATACGATAAATAGGTATAACTTCTAAATAAATTTTCGATATTTAAATGACAAAGCCCTTTAACGTGGACGCTGGAGATCACAGAAACACATGCAGGAAACTAAGAACTGTATTATTTGGGGAAGCTCTCATAATTCTATGACACTGGCTAAACAAAGACGCGTTCTTCAGCACGGTCATGGTAGTAAATACACCATCTAGCACAACACAAAAAAAGTATTGTAGTGAGTTTCATAAAATGCATGCACATTCACGTTAGGATATCATTGAAAATAAGTGGGCATTTTGGTGCGGCCATCAACACTAAGGCACTTTGAGATGGTACAGGTGTTTGCTATGATCACACAAAAAATCCTAGTGAGGGAAACATAAACGCACATCACAATCAAAACATACTGACACTTAAACTTCTCGTTGGAGCCAGCTGTGATGGAAGGATGGAAGAGAAAATAGTCAAACACTTATGAAATATCCAACCTAGCTAATCATTGAAGCAAACAACACAATGAACTGACTTTTAATCAACCGCTCATCGCTAGCGGCAGCTCGACCAACCTCAAGGATAGGACAGCAAATCAGACGGATTCCAGCCGTCACTTCCCGATAAGTCAGTCCGACAGAAGCTTTCCAAGTATCTGGCCAGTCACTTTCAGCAACCCAGTCGCTTCCCAATGAGCCAGCCAACCATCAGAGCATTCCTGTTTCAAGCGCTCTAACCCCTCGCCCTCTCCGAACCCACGCATACCCACCTTTCCTGTTGGAGCACTCGATATCGAAACTGAGGATGCGGATCGGCGCCACCTTCTGCCACTCGCCCTCCGGCGGATGCGAGACGAATTTGTTCCAGGCGACGTCCACCTCCAGCTGAGACAGAGAGACCGGCTGGGGTCCTCCGGAGGGGTCCACGGTGCGCCGCCGCCACGAGCCCGCCGGGAGCGTGATCCAGTTACAGCCCACCACGTTCGTGTCGATCATGAACCTGCAGTAAAGATGGTTGGGTTTTGAATACGCTCAGACTTTTTTGAAGGCGGGCATGCCGCCCACCTTCAACAAAAGTGAGCGTATGGTTAGCGGTGCAGGATCATTAACTTAACGGAGCTGTGACCCACTTAGTACGCGTTAAACATGATAGTCAGGTATACCCAGAGATGGTTTAATGGTTGACGGTGCGCGGCGGGCAAAAAAGTCCTGTTCAAAAGCTGGGAATAGCGTATACATTATGCAATGAGTCAAACGTCCCCTCTTCCCCCTTTCTCACCTGATCTCGAAGTCGACGTTGGACTCGTAGGCGCGGTACTGCCAGCCGCCCAGCTGATCAACCACCACCTCCCCGCGCTCCAGCATCCGTTTGGCGGCGGCCACCAGACGAGGCTGGGCCACGGTGATGCGGAGGAAGGGCACCGGCCCGGCGCCCTGGTAGCCGTACATGGACTGCCGCTTCACCAGCTCCACGTCCAGCACCGCCTGCGGCACCTCCGTCACAGACTTGGTCTCCCGCATCATGGCTGTGTTGAGGACTCGCTGTCGGAGAGGGGGGGGGGGGTTAGTGGTGGTCGAGAACGGCGGCGTCTGAAGAGTGAGGGAGATTGAACACGAACAAACATGAGTTGCAAAGTTTGAGGGACCTGGATGAAAATAGCTGCTGATAGTGATCCCGTTTGTTCTTACAGGTTGAATTATGGCGTCAATTATTTAGCGATATCCGCTAATGTACAAAGCGAATGATCGGCACATTAACGGTGCACGATATGTCACTCGAAAATTTTACGATTCATCCGACAACCCTCAAGCACAATAGCATCATCAGCTGCACCATCAAATTATCAAACCGGTTAGCAAAATTCCGCCCATCAGCGCTAACATGCGACGGAGAATTGGAGCCCCGAAAAAGTGATACTGGAGTACGCTCAAACATCTGATTTCCCATCAGAAACCTTACCAACCAGTCCCTCTCACTGCCGTCGCTAACTCACCTGGAAGGTAGCACACCACTCCGGCTTGAAGAACTCTGGCACGGGCACGAACAGATACGGCGCGAACCCGTGCACGTGACAGCACACAGAGTGACCCTCGGATGTGACGCCGAACATGCGCATTATGGGTATCAGACCCGTCTGAGCGCCCGGCATACCCGGCAGGGGGTAACCTGTGGGCACGGACAGACGCATTTGGGGCATAGAGAACCAAAGGATATGATAAAACGAGACAAGATATTGCATGATTCGGGTACTGAATAACGGCATAGACATTAAACAGAAGGATTTGTTGTTGATGACCAGCTCACGTCCAAAATGTTTTTAGGTCATCGCTAACAACACACAAATTTTTGTACGATCATCGTGGGTTTATGTTATCGGTACAAAAACCTCAGGAACAGTGTGCAAACTGGCACTCACCGAATATTACCGTCAATTCTCCAGCCCAGAGCACATGTATCAACATCAGAGGTCAGTAAGACTAATACACCATGCTCCTACCTACCCTCTCACTGCCTGACAGCTACTCACCGAGATAGTAGTCTGTCTCCATCTGCTGGAATGTGATGTCGTCTGCAGCCGGATCCAGCGGCGGGAGGTCCGGGCGACTCCATCGCGCGTCCACCTCCTGACTCTCTGGAGCCTGGAGTCAGAGTCACAGGGAGAGTCAGTCGCACAAGGGATGCTGGAAGAGATGGAAAGAGAACAACTGACAGCCAGATAGTCGCTTTGGCATCACATTCAGAGCTCCATGTTCATGGCTCATAGCTATGAGCCCTCATGAATTCACTACCTACTTTTCCAGGTTAGGGTTGGGATTGGCTTGGGACTGGCCATAACTGTAATGCGTCAATCCAATGCCTTCATATGGACTGAATTTAACAACTGAAAACAATATCACACAAACACCAATGAAACGTGGACATTGTTTGAAATCCTCACAAAGCTGAGCTGTTTAGTCTAGCCCAAACAATGACAGATAATCCAAATTCAATCTTCTGCATTCTTCCATATTTTCTAAATACATATTCATGTAAATCCATGCTAAAGTCCATGTGAAGGGCAATGTCAGATTTCAAGGTGCATTGCCTTATCTTGACAGATACCCTGACCTTCACTCTTCCATTTATCAAACATGGCCAGGTAAAGCCAATCTTGCTAAATCATTTTGTTGCATTTTTCTCAGCTACCATCTTTTGAAACCCTCCCTCAAGTCATTGAATCGATGAGTCAGGCACTGGCTTGTCTATGGTCAAACGCCTTGCTTGGGGCAAGATGAACACCTTGTCTAGTTTTCCCTTCTTCATACTGAAGTCACAAGATATGTACTTATGGATTGAGTGGGTAAGTTCAATCAATTAAACATTTCCCCAGATTTCAGCAAAGCAGAATGTCAAGCATAGCTCTGACATTATTATACTTACTGGTTGCAGTGAGTCTTCTGAAGCAATCAGTTCACTTTCTTCACTCTCCAGTAGGGCCAGCTCCTCCTCAAAGGTGGACATGGGTGTATCTTCATCCTCACCTCTGTAATGTAAGAAAAACACATTGCCATTCAGCATCCCATGAAATCACCCCATGGAAGAGAGACCTGTCTCCCTGCCCTTACTACAAGGTAAATGACTACACAGAAAATTTGTATTGATGGTAAATGTTTGGCATTGGACATTGGTTAAATCAGATACCTTGAGCTATGGTAACAGGGAAGGTAGTTCCAATGTCCCAATAACTGCAATATAACCAAATACTAGGTGATCATATTGACATTCTTTTACTAAAATACCAGTCACCTTGCACCAAAGAAGATGTCTGGTCAGGTGAAGTAAAGTAAGGTAGATTGCATGTCAATATTTCTTTGATAAATCTGGAATGCCAGATAAAAATGGTACTGAAGAACCATTTGCAGTATACAGGAACTGGAACAGGTCGGGGTTCTTGTCACTTCCTGATAAAGCTACAGCTGAATTACCTGAACCTTTTTGAAGCACCTCCAGCTCCATTGCTGTATGTTTTGCGCTTGTCCATTTCACCTGAAACTGAAGTAAAATCAGTTTTATTACTTAAAGGTAACCTTTAATCACAAATCTCCAGTCCAGTACTTATTCTGTTATTGTTGTATTCCTATAACAATAATTGTTCTACAACTCCTCCACTATAATACAAATTAATCAGGAGGTCAGCCACCTGGGGCCTGGGGGATTGCAGCGTCCAGACCACCTCAAAAATTTTGCTTCCATAACGTAGCTTTATGTATGTAAGAGTGCATTTTTTTATTAATCCTGCCAACCCCGAGACCGTGGCAGAGCCTCCGAAAACCAAGCAATGAGGTATGCAGGGGAAGATAATGCAAGTATCACCCATTTTAATATAATATATGACTTAATCCTGGTGAACCAGCAAAATTATTTCATAATTAAAACTTGAACTGGGTTGAGAAACGTTCCAAACAGCCTGAAGGTTGGGTTGCGACCACGTTGCGACCGACAAACTGAAATCGACGTTTGACATCAACATTGAAATTGAAATGCCACCAATCTTATATATATATAATTGAATGCCTCAACACGGCTGCAATGCTGCAACATGAACACAGCCATGGAAATGCTATGCTACAAACATCAATGCACATTCTATCATCCAAAATCTCAAGTACCCACAACCAAAAGGCAATAGATAATGTTTATCGGTAAGAAAACATTTCGCGCGCAATCCGCGATCGATCACAGCTGTTCGGGGTCACGTGATTCAGGAAAGCGCAATGATTGGTCTATGGTTAGAGCAAGGACCACTAAAAAACTGCAATAAAATAAAAATCAATTTTACTTGCAGGTGTATCAAAATATCCGGAAAGGCATGCATCATTGTTTCAATTTGAGAGGGAAACACATGACAACAAAAAGAAAAAATGATAAATGTACCATTTACGCTTGCCAATGCAATTGATGTGGCACTGATTTTCTATGGCACTGATTCGATAAATAACTGATTCCATGGCGACGGCGAATCTCGTCGGAAGGTAGAAACTAGAAAGTACTGCCGTCAGACTCATAAACGGTATCATTCTGGCTAGGCAAATAGAAACAGGATGTCCAATACCAGTGAACAGTGACCTTCAGTTTGCAATCAAATCATGGAAAAGCAAAGATCTGATGCAATTGCTTCTATGCAATTATTACGTAATATAGTTTTGCGGCGATTCTGACGCGTTGGAAACTAGCCCGTTCACATGAGATTTTTCAGCAATTTTACAGCACAATTTCTTGCAATTAAATGACATCAAGTTTTATTTTTGTTAGCTTTTGGAAATTTAATAATAAAATATCACGTAAGTTCATCACAAATATCTTCAAATATATTTATTACAAACTAATTTGATGGAATTGAAAAAGATACTGAACAAATAAAGTTTTTAAATATTGTATGACGTCATTTATAGACAGCAAAAGTGTTGAGATCAAAGCAATATTACAGCAGGCCTTGGAGCATCACATGTGCGCAAAACTCTGCGCACCCGAGCTTCGATGTTTTCCAAGCCACCGAAGCTCTCGAAGTTTGGCGTCGGTGCGGGTGCGTGGTGGTGCTGGTTGTTTGGATTTTACGATGTCCGCACTGCTTAGATCAGCGAAGTTTTTGCGTCTTTTCAGTGGTTTCGCGCGTAACTTCACAGCTGGACCCGTCAGAAATGAAGCCGACAACTTCCTCGGAAATCACAAACCCCAATGGCAGGGTATAGACACTAGGTAAAATGCATATTTTATTATTATTATTGTTTTTGGATATTATCAGGTATCTCACTCTGAAATGAAATAGAAAATATTGATAAACTGCTTGATTTAATGTATAACATCAGGAACCTGATGGAGTTTCTATGGCATTTTCTATTTCTATGGCATTTCTTTCTATGACAGTCTCGAGTGTTATGATCTGTATGATTACCTTATTTTTCAGAACATTGTCCACACAACCATCAGCTGTGCCTCTGACAATTGAGAGCAGTAGTGGACTCCAGACACTTGACAGAGCACTGCAGAAATTGGACTTGGATATCAGGAAAACTGGTCGGATCTCGACCAGGGAAGTGGAAGAGATTTATGAGGAAGTCAAGGTCACAGGTGAGCGGAACATCAGTGCCTAGTAATGACACTTATGTAAATAGTTTCAGAATGATGCTCATTGCTCACCTCATGGCTTTCCTTGTTGATACCTAGATTCTAACTTGCCATGTATGATTAAATTCTTATACCTACCTAGGTTTCTTATCATGGATGCATATGCTCTCATTTTCTGAAAAAGATTGTTCCACTTTTCCCTGAGTCATGCTTGAAAGTATTTTGTTTTCCATTCCAGGTGCCATCAGCAGCTCACAGAGCTTGCTGTTGATCCGTTGCTGTGGTAACCTGGTTGCGGAGGAGCTTCCCGAACAGAGGACTCAACTGGCTCAGAACATATGGCAGACACTCCAGTCCATAGGTCAGTACTGTCCACTATCTGTACTAAACTATCTAAACTCATAAAATATTTCCATGTGCATTTGATTCTGCCAAGTGTTTATTAAGTCACTTCATAGTTTTTTTTTTACAATTGCCCTGGATAATTTATGCTATGCTAATTACCTTCAAGTTTCAACACATTTTCTCTCCACTCTCCCTCTACCGCAGGTGTCCCTATGGACATTTCACACTACAACGCACTGCTGCGGGTGTACTTGGAGAACGAGCACCCTTTCTCCCCGAGCGAGTTCCTCTCGTACCTGCGTGCCCAGGGCGTGGAGCCGAACCGCGTCACCTACCAGAGACTCATCTCCAGGTGAGGACTGGGCGATCGGGGCGGCGGCGGACGAATGGATGGTGATGTCGAGACGGTATCGGGGATATGCGGTGATCGGTGACGGTTCGTGATCGTTGGTGCTTACCGGTGGTGATGGTGGCAACGGGCGTTGTTTGGTGACGGTTGTTGATCAGTGATGCGTGACGGTCGGTGGTTGGGAGTGGTTGTTGAAAGTTTTGACGGGTAATGGTCGATGATGGGTGACGAAGAACATTGATCTGGGGACCGGGGTAGGGGCTGTGATCGGTGCAGATTCAGTGGTTGGTGGTTGTGACTGTGGGTGGGGACTGGTAACGGTCGGTGATCAGTTACCAACGATAATTTCCGTTATTTCGGTCGGTGGTGGGCTAATCGGTGACGACAGCGGTGACGGACCATGTGGTGAGCGGTCAGGTTTACGGTAACGTAAAATGGTGCGATTTGTGAAACCGTGCACCTAGTGCCTAATGATAGTCATTTTCTTGATTTTTGTTTGGGGTAACCGCTCCTAACCGATTATTTCATGGTGCAGTGACTCGAGACCGTACACCGACATGAGTTTGGACGGTGCATGTTAGTTCATGGTTGTTGATTATCGTTCGCTGACCAATGACTGATGATGGCAATAGTAACCATTGACCGGCGAATGGGGTGACCAGTGATTGTCACCCACACAGTGACCACAGTAGTACGTCTGTTTAACTTTACACACCACTGTATTGCCGTTTGTATCGTATCCACGTGGGTTGGTTGGTGGTGTATGTAGGTGACAGAGCCCAATCCATCACCTGTTTTTGTGCCAGTTTTTACGTTACGGGGTCGCTATTTGTAATGCCGGTGATTGTGTGGTCTCAGTTGTTTGATTCTCGGGGTAGAGTGCGATCCACGTGTGCCCCGATGACTGAGCTATTATGCATGCGGCGCGGTCGCAGTTACTCTGTTTTTGCGCCTCCCTCGGCGCCTGAACACTTGCATTGCAAGGGGCTGGCTCAGTCGTAGATTGTAATGCTGTCGGCAGTCGGCACGTTATATAACTGGAAGCGTTGAAGCCGCTGCAATAGTCCCTGCGTTCTTGGCTACCCTCAGTGTGTTTCGAAATATGGTTAGAAGGCGGCTTATTCAAGGTCACATGACCGTGTAAGCTCAAACAAAAATAGCGGCGGTAAAATCGCGACACATCGAGTATCCACTACAAGCAGCGGCCGTAAACTGCAAGTCATGCTCGCGGCTCAACTCTACCGGCTGGGAAAGGGGGTGGGGAGGGTAGTTGGCACGCCTTCTAATGACCGTGAAAAGTCTCCTTAGCTGTCGACCAGACCACGCGAAAGCCTCTTCAGAATTACGGCTGGATGGTTTCGGGTAGATGGTTACATAAATGCGGGTTTATAGGGTGACTAGCCGATTATGCTTTCGCGTTTGTGCCTGGTTTATTGAACTGTGGTGTTGCCGCTTTTTATGGACATAGCTTATCGCGGCTTTTACCAGTTTATCGGTACGCGCGCCGTGTGTGGCATGCTTTACGCTCGCGCCGCACGTGCTCTGTGTTTACCCCGGCCTTCCGCGTGCCGACAGGTTCTGCCTTCTGGGTGACATTGAGGGCGCCACCCGCATCCTCGAACACATGAAGGAGAACGGTCTGGCCATCAATGAACAGGTGTTCAACGCTCTTGTCGTCGGACATGCACGAGCCAAGTAAGTTTGCACTTTGTACCGTACTCCAATCTACGTTTTCCCTGTTACTTGTTTGGAATAATGCCGGCAGTCACGACGAAATGTTAATTGTGACGTCACATGGAGTTTATCGGCGCATTCAAATTGCGGACACATTTGTCAGTTTCGGGCCATAGGTAACATTACAATTTTCTTGCCGTCAATATCCTGCAGCGACATGATCTCTAATTACATGGTGCTTGCAATATGAAGCGTAAGCAATCTGATTAGTTTAACCTCTCTAAGTTGTGGCCGTTACGTAAAACGGTCGCTCGAGGTCCGACGTCTACGCAGTAATCGCTTCAACGACCGGCCCCTCAGACGCAAATAGCCCGATTGGTCCGTCGACGACAGCATACCGCGCTTTGCCATCTGTGCCCTATCTGGAGGTGCAGTTTCCAGTAGCAATATGGCTGCACACACGGCCTGAATGTTTCCACCAATTCGTGCTTTAACAGCTAACGGGGCGGTAAACTAATGTCTAAGCAACTGCTTATGTTGTGGCCGGATCAGGCTGCTTCCCATACGCTTCATGGTTCTGTTACGATTTTATTGCCACGACTGTAAGCGTGGTCAAATTATCATCTCTAGTCAGGGGCACGGCGCGGTGCATTGGTACTGGATCTAACCCTGATGCTCGGGTGGCACCCGTTAGGGCCTCACCAGAATAGCATACTGTCGCAAGTCGCGTCACTCCAACAAACAGACCCGCTGTGCCGCTTTGTGAAGTCGTGCTGCAGCTGGACGGACAGATGTCCCTTCCCTCTCCCTTCCCCTGCCATCCCCTCCCCTATTTTCCCCGGCTGAGCTCCCCTCCCCTCCTTCCCCTCCCCACTAGCGGAGTCAAATGTCAGACAGACGTGCCCTGCCCCTCCCCTCCCCTTCCCGGCTCTCCCCTCCTCACACCCAGCTGGACAGTGGACAGACCAGTTGCGTAACGTAATGCTCAACGATACTAGCGACCTATGCTAGCGACCCTTTACGCATTCGATCCTTTCTGAGTGAACCAAAACTGAATCTGAACTTGACCTAAAGTTCCACACCTCCCATCTCAATCCTATTTGAACCGACAAAGTTGCAGACACGTGCGCTGATCAGGTGCCCGACCGAATTCATTTGCGTCTTAAAAACACGCACGGGAACAACCTCCAAGACTCGGAATTCTCTTTAACTTCTTCAAGTGAACAAATTGCACTGTCTCTGGCTGCCCGCGTTCCTCCCGTTTTCCTACACAGGCTGCGTTACCTCTCTACTCTGGCGTCGAATCCTCTCCTTTCCTCTCTTAACAGTCCGGACTCCGGAGCTCATGCTTGTCGGCTGTCACTTCCTTCCTCCTGCTCTGTCGCCGCTTCCTCTCATCTCCCTCTCTTAGCGACAATACAGCCCGTATCATCTGCCCCACGCCCCTCCAGTGACCTATAGTTAACCTCTCTGACCCGTTCACCCCTCCAGTGATCTGGAGTCAGCGCAGTCGATGGTGGCCATGATGAAGCGCGCCCACCTGGAGCCCTCTGCCGAGACGTTCCGCCACCTGGCGTGTGCGCACGCCGAGCAGGGTGACCTGGCGGGTGTGAAGGCCACCCTGGAGCAGGCCGAACGCGAGGAGGTGGTGCTGCATGACAGGGATATACTGGAGGTCATCTACAGTCTCACCGTGGCAGGACACA